GTGCACCATGATCAAGTAGGATTCATCCCTGGGATGCAAGGCTGGTTCAATATACGGAAATCAATAAATGTTATTCACCACATCAATAGACTTAAAAATAAGAACCATATGATCATCTCGATAGATGCGGAAAAAGCATTCGACAAAGTACAGCATCCCTTTATGTTCAAAACTCTAGAAAAACTAGGGATAACAGGAACATACCTCAATATTGTAAAAGCAATCTATGCTAAGCCTCAGGCTAGCATCATTTTGAATGGAGAAAAATTGAAGGCATTCCCTCTAAAATCTGGAACATGACAGGGATGCCCTCTTTCACCACTTCTGTTCAACATAGTTCTTGAAATGCTGGCCAGAGCAATTAGACAGACGAAAGAAATTAAAGGCATAAAAATAGGAAAAGAAGAACTTAAATTATCACTATTTGCAGATGATATGATTCTATACCTAGCAGACCCAAAAGGCTCTACAAAGAAACTATTAGAGCTAATAAATGAATTCAGCAAAGTGGCAGGATATAAAATCAACACGCATAAATCAAAGGCATTCCTGTATATCAGCGACAAATCCTCTGAAATGGAAATGAGGACAACCACTCCATTCACAATATCTTCAAAAAAAATAAAATACTTGGGAATCAACCTAACAAAAGAGGTGAAAGACTTATACAATGAAAACTACAGAACCCTAAAGAGAGAAATAGAAGAAGATCTTAGAAGATGGAAAAATATACCCTGTTCATGGATAGGCAGAACTAACATCATCAAAATGGCGATATTACCAAAAGTTCTCTATAGGTTTAATGCAATGCCAATCAAAATCCCAACGGCATTTCTTGTAGAAATAGAGAAAGCAATCATGAAATTCATATGGAAAAATAAAAGACCCAGAATAGCAAAAACAATGCTAAGCAGGAAGTGTGAATCAGGCAGTACAGCGATACCAGACTTCAAACTATACTACAGAGCAATAGTAACAAAAACAGCATGGTACTGGTACCAAAACAGGCGGGTGGACCAATGGTACAGAATAGAGGGCACAGAAACCAATCCACAAAACTACAACTATCTTATATTTGATAAAGGGGCTAAAAGCATGCAATGGAGGAAGGATAGCATCTTCAACAAATGGTGCTGGGAAAACTGGAAATCCATATGCAACAAAATGAAACTGAATCCCTTTCTCTCGCCATGCACAAAAGTTAATTCAAAATGGATCAAGGAGCTTGATATCAAATCAGAGACACGCCGTCTGATAGAAGAAAAAGTTGGCTACGATCTACATACTGTGGGTTCGGGCTCCAAATTCCTCAATAGGACACCCATAGCACAAAAGTTAATAACTAGAATCAACAAATGGGACTTACTCAAACTAAAAAGTTTTTTCTCAGCAAAAGAAACAATAAGAGAGGTAAATAGAGAGCCTACATCCTGGGAACAAATCTTTACTCCTCACACTTCAGATAGAGCCCTAATATCCAGAGTATACAAAGAACTCCAAAAATTAGACAATAAGATAACAAACAACCCAATCAACAAATGGGCCAAGGACCTGAACAGACACTTCTCAGAGGAGGACATACAATCAATCAACAAGTACATGAAAAAATGCTCACCATCTCTAGCAGTCAGAGAAATGCAAATCAAAACCACCCTAAGATACCATCTCACTCCAGTAAGATTGGCAGCCATTATGAAGTCAAACAACAACGAGTGCTGGCGAGGATGTGGGGAAAAGGGTACACTTGTACATTGCTGGTGGGACTGCAAATTGGTGCAGCCAATCTGGAAAGCAGTATGGAGATTTCTTGGAAAGCTGGGAATGGAGCCACCATTTGACCCAGCTATTCCCCTTCTTGGTCTATTCCCTAAAGACCTAAAAAGAGCATGCTACAGGGACACTGCTACATCGATGTTCATAGCAGCTCAATTCACAATTGCAAGACTGTGGAACCAACCCAGATGCCCTTCAATAGACGAATGGATTAAAAAAATGTGGCATTTATACACAATGGAGTATTACTCTGCATTAAAAAATGACAAAATCATAGAATTTGCAGGGAAATGGATGGCACTAGAGCAGATTATGCTAAGTGAAGCTAGCCAATCCCTAAAAAACAAATGCCAAATGTCTTCTTTGATATAAGGAGAGTAACTAAGAACAGAGTAGGGACGAAGAGCATGAGAAGAAGATTAACATTAAACAGAGATGAGAGGTGGGAGGGAAAGGGAGAGAGAAGGGAAATTGCATGGAAATGGAAGGAGACCCTCAGGGTTAGACAAAAGAACATACAAGAGGAAATGAGGGGAAAGGGAAAAATAATACAAGGGGGAGAAATGAAGGTCAGTAGAGGGGGTAGAGAGAGAAGAGGGGAGGGGAGGGGAGGGGGGATAGTAGAGGATAGGAAAGGTAGCAGAACACGACAGTCACTAGTATGGCAATATGTAAATCAATGGATGTGTCATTGATGTGATTCTGCAATCTGTATATGGGCTAAAAATGGGAGTTCATAACCCACTTGAAGCAAAGTGTGAAAGATGATATATCAAGAACTATGTAATGTTTTTAAAAAACCAAAAAAAAAAAAAAAAAAAAAAAGGAAGAGGCCAACAGCACCTGTTATATCTGGCTTTTCCCCAAGGCCATTATATCAACAGTAGGGGATTGGGAAGGGCAGACATGAACCCTGGGAACACTCTGGTGTACTGGGGAGAAAGAAGGGCTCAAGCTTGAGGCCCAAATCTTTTGTGTCCCTGTGTCTTTCTCAGTCTCCGTTGTGTCTAGGAGATGGTGAGCTGGTTGGGTGCCAGTGGATCCCAGCCAGATTACCTGAGGATTGTCTTCCCACCCACCTTCCATCATGACTGGGTTCTGATGATTGCCCTACCTGAGGGTTCACAATCCCAGTTTTGCAGAATGAAAATCAATCATATTGATACAATGGCAATAAATAAATTATAAAAATTAAAAATAAATAAAATAAAATAATTATTGAATTATGTTTTTAAAAGTTTATTTAAGCACTTGTTAGTCTCTATAAATGTAGCTCCTTAGATTTTAAAAATTTAAAAAATTTTCTCCTTTGTATTCTAGAGCTATATGGAATTGAAGAAGCATGTTAAAATTTAAAATCTGCTAAAAATGGCTACTGTAGTTCTAAATTATCCTGAATGAAAGGCTGCCACTTTGTTGGATATGCCTGGGAGTTAAGAAAAATAGTGCATATACATATAAAATGATGAATGCTCTAGAGTTGTTGTTTTGTGCTTGCAGATATTTCATTTAAATCAGAGCATATACAAAGGCATTATTTCTTTGAGGAGATACCAGTGATGTAAAGACTGATGAAGAGGGCTGGGGTTGTGGCTCGGTGGTAGAGCACTCGCCTAGCATGTGCGAGGCCCTGGGTTCGATCCTCAGCACCACATAAAAATAAATAAATAAAATAAACAAACAAATAAATAAATAAATGGTATTGTGTCCAACTACCAAAAAAAAAAAAAAAAAAAAGACTGATGAAGAACATTTTGCCAACTGTATGGTCAGGGCAGTCTAGCAGTGTGGTAAATCACTATGAATCTACATGGTGATCAAATTCTTACTATTAGGAACTTCAGCTGATGTTTTGTATAACCTGGTCAAAGTTTTCAGTAACATCTAGATTGTTTTGTTTTCCTCTTGCCAAAATCTCCTGAAAGACTTTATTCACTCCAGAGTTTGTTGCCTGAATTTCCAAACCTGATATACTGTTTGATTATTTGTGTGCAATTTATTAGGAGATAAGGAATGATCTCTACTTTCTAATTGGCTTATGTGCATACTGGGTCATAGAGCCCAATGTAGCTGATTCACAGGAAATTATTGTGTCACTTTCTATACCTTATACTTGGCACGAGTCATTGACTGTGGATTTTGCTGTCTGTAATCAAAATTTGAGCCACACCCTATTCCATGGCAAGATCACAATTCATGCCTAGCAAGGGACATTGGATAACCACACCCAGGAACATAAGGGCTTGACTGATGGAAGCTCACATTTTGGTTTAAGAGACTATCTGCATGGCTTCTCAATGTGATCTCTGAATTCTCCCCAAAACTATCAGATCATTAAGATCACAAGAGCTGAAAAATAAAAATAATTTGTTTAAAAAGGGATAACCTTGATTCTCAGGAGTAAGTTCAGTAAGTCTCCTAATCCAGTTTACTTATGGAAAGTATTATCTTAGATCCCTCCCAAATCCCCTTCTGTACTGTAGAAGTTTTTGTTTTTCTGGTAAAGGAAATAAAGAGATGTGTTTTTTTTTTCCTTTCAGATTTGGACTCAACATATGAGACCAAAAATATATTTTCAGAAAAGGACATTTTTGAAATAAAATTTTCCCGCTGGGATACAAAGGAAGAAAGTAAAACCCTGGGCCTTGAGGCATCCATTTTCAGAAATAATTGGAAGTGCAAAAACAAATTTGAAGGACTACAGACACATCAAGGGGGATACTTAAGTCAAATGATTATCAGCTATGAAAAAATACTCACATACAGAAAAAATAAATCTCTTATTCAACAGGAAAGAATTCATGATAGAGAGAAACCATGTGTTTGTAAGGAATGTGGAAAGACTTGTAGTCATGGCTCAAAACTTGTTCAACATGAGAGAACTCATATAACTGAAAAACGCTTTGAATGTAAAAAATGCGGGAAAAACTTTTTTAGTGCCTATCAACTGAGTGTGCATCAGAGATTTCATACTGGTGAGAAACCCTATGAATGTAAAGAATGTGGCAAGACCTTCAGTTGGGGATCCAGCCTTGTTAAACATGAGAGAATCCATACTGGGGAGAAGCCCTATGAATGTAAAGAATGTGGGAAAGCCTTCAGTCGTGGCTATCACCTTACTCAACATCAGAAAATTCATATTGGTGTGAAGTCTTATGAATGTAAGGAGTGTGGGAAGGCGTTTTTTTGGGGTTCAAGCCTTGCTAAACATGAGATAATTCATACAGGTGAGAAACCTTATAAATGTAAAGAATGTGGGAAGGCCTTCAGCCGTGGCTATCAACTAACTCAGCATCAGAAAATCCATACTGGTAAGAAACCTTATGAATGCAATGTTTGTGGAAAGGCTTTTTGTTGGGGTTATCAGCTCACTCGACATCAAATATTTCACACTGGTAAGAAACCCTACCAATGTAATGAATGTGGGAAGACCTTTAATTGTGGATCAAGTCTTGTTCAACATGAGAGAATCCATACAGGTGAGAAGCCTTATGAATGCAAAGAATGTGGGAAAGCCTTCAGTCGTGGTTATCGTCTTACTCAACATCAGAAGATCCATACTGGTGAGAAACCTTTCAAATGTAAGGAATGTGGAAAGGCCTTTAGTTGGGGTTCAAGTCTTGTTAAACACGAGAGAGTCCATACTGGTGAGAAATCCTATGTATGTAGAGAATGTGGGAAAGCCTTTGGTAGCAGGTATCAGCTTACTCAACATCAGATATTTCATACTGGCAAGAAGCTCTACCACTGTAAGGAATGTGGGAAGACCTTTAACTGTGGATCAAGTCTTGTTCAACATGAGAGAATTCATACTGGTGAGAAGCCTTATCAGTGCAAAGAATGTGGGAAAGCCTTCAGTCGTGGCTATCATCTTACTCAACATCAGAGGACCCATACTGGTGAGAAACCTTTCAAATGTAAGCAATGTGGAAAGGCCTTTAGCTGGGGTTCAAGTCTTGTTAAACATGACAGAGTCCATACTGGTGAGAAATCCTATGAATGTAAAGAATGTGGGAAAGCCTTTGGTAGTGGCTATCAACTTCAGGTTCATGAGCAATTTCATTCCAGTGAGAAACTTTATCAACATGAGGAATTTGGGGAGACCTTTACTCATAGTGCAAACTTGGATCAACTTGAGAGAACTCATGGTAACAACAAACCCTGTAGATATAAAGATGTGGGGAGGCCTTTATGTGGACAACTTGCTCAGACAAGAAAATTGATCCTGGAGAAAACTTGTAATTGAAAAGATATGAGAGAACTTGTTAAACATGTTCAAGTCTTGTTAAACACGAGAGAGTCCATACTGGTGAGAAATCCTGTGTATGTAGAGAATGTGGGAAAGCCTTTGGTAGCGGGTTTCAGCTTACTCAACATCAGATATTTCATACTGGACAGCTTAACATGAGCAGAAAGCTTACTCCAAAGAAACCATATGAAAGAAACCATACGAATGTATGCCAGGCAATGGTGGCACATGCCTGTAATCCCAACTACTCAGGAGGCTGAGGCAGGAAGAACTCAAATTGAAGGCCAGCCTGGGTAATTTGGTAAGACCCTACCTCAAACTAAAAAATAAAAAGGACTGGGGTTGTAGCTCAATGGTAGAGCACCCCTGGGTTCATTCAATTGTTTGAATGATATAGCAGGAAAAAAGAAAAAGAAACTCTGTGAATGTAAGGAATATGCAAAAGCTTTTCCTTATGTGTATAGACAGTTTACTTGTCATCAGCAGATACATACTAGTGAGAAATATTTTGAATATAAGGAATATGAAAAGACATTTAGATTTTTGTGTGATCTTAATGAACATCAATTTATATTGATGTGAAACCATTTCCATGTAAGACGTGAAGATCTTTATTCATGGCACAAAGTCTAGTAAACATCAGAGAGTTAAACAAGTTAGAAGCTGGACGAGGTGGTGCATGCCTGTAATCCTAGTGGTTTGGGAGGCTGAGGCAGAAGGAACACAAGTTCAAAGCCAGCCTCAGCAAAAGCAAGATGTTAAGCCACTCAGTGAGACCCTGTCTGTAAATACTAAATATGGCTGGGGATGTGGCTCAGTGGTCAAATGCCCCTGAGTTCAATTTCAGGTACCAAAAAAAAAAAAAAAAAAAAAAAAAAAAAAAAACATGTTAGAAATACTTTAAAATGGTAAGGAATCTGGGAAGGATCTGAATTTAATTCAGTTCTTGCTTTCAGAGAATTCATACTGCTATGAAATATACTGTATGTCTGTAAGAAATCTGGGAAGGCATATAGACATGGTTAATATTATAGAACACATCAGAAACTTCATCCAAATGAGAAACTCTTTGAATTAAAACTGTAGGAAGGGTATCACTTGTTCACTCACCACCTAGTATTCTACACATCTGCAATTTCAATAATTACGTTTGACACAAAGTAAAAACTTGAGTGTTATAATAGGATCCATCCTTCCTGATCAGTTAGTAGTCTACTCCCACCCACACCATTCCCAAGGTACATATTTGTATGTTAACCAGAAGATGTGGAGATGATGTCTTATAGCACTGAAATGATGTCTCAAGAATGCTTACTAATACTTGACAAAGAAGGGATATTCTTTCGCTAAAGAGGCTTATGAAGTAGCATCTACAAAAACTCTTTAGGAAAAATTAAAAGAACCTCATCAGCTTAAAAAAGAACTGGTGAGTATTCTGGTAAAGAAAATTGTTCAAGTTTTTTTCTTTTTTTTTAGTTTTAGGTGGACACAATATCTTTATTTTATTTTTATGTGGTGCTGAGAATCGAACCCAGTGCCTCACGCATGCCAGGAGAGCACGCTACCACTTGAGCCACATCCCCAGCCCCTCAAGTTTGTTTAAACTGGTGTATTCCAAACTTAACCATGGAAATACTGATTCTTATTAACTACATCAGGAAATGCTATCATAACCAAAATAGGCTCTTAAAGTTAGAAATTTCAGCCACCAAGTCTAGATGTTAGCTTTGATGGACTGGCATCCTCATGCTTTCAAAATGGCTGCCTTCTGCTAATGTTTTCTCTTATTTGTGAGTAAAAATGTTTCTTACAGGGGCTGGGGTTGTGGCTCAGCAGTAGAGCATTGGCTTAGCACGTGTGAGGCCCTGGGTTCGATCCTCAGCACCACATAAAAATAAATAAAACAAAGGTATTGTGTCCAATTACAACTAAAAAATACTTAAAAAGAAATGTTTCTTACATCTAGGTAGGATTGGCTCCTGAGTTTTATCAAAAGCCATTTCATCTCTTTCTGCACTTGTGTAATATTTGTTAATCTGATAAGTCATAATGACATTATTTAACTCTTTCCTCATTCCTGCATATACCCAGATTAGTCATTGTACATCATTCTGATGCATTACTTGATTTCATTTGCTTCTATTTTACTTAGGATTTTGTATCTCACAGTGAGGTTGCATTAATAGTTTTCATTTTTTGTTGCCTTTTTGTTTGATTTGGAATTGCAATTACCTGTTCTTTAAATTATATGATCATTGGGTTGTTTTCTTTTGAAAAAGAGTCTTAATCTCTTGTCTAGTTTCATTTGTTGCCTTTTTTTTTTTTTTTTTTGAGTACCCAACACAATTCCTTGTCGGAGGCTTCCTAGAGATGTAGTACCAGCTAAGACCCACATAAAAGAAGCATCCTGATGTGGCCTCTCATGGAAAAATCCTTCATTATATGATCTTGAGAATACTAGATTGGGAAGTCAGAGCTCCTTATGGGTCTGTATGATCACCCGTGCATGTGTTCTTTGGAGCACATAAAGAAACATTTCATTCATATATATATATATATATATATATATATATATATATTTTAGATGTTGAGAGACCTTTATTTTGTTCATTTATTTATATGTGGTGTTGAGAATTGAGCCCATTGCCTTATGCATACTACGCAAGTAGGCAAGTGATCTACCACTGAGCCACAACTCCAGCCCAAGGAAACATTTCTTGCTATGAAGATTGGGAGTGGGATTTCTGGGATTGGGTTGTGCATATCCCTGTGTTGAACTTTAGTAGTTGAGTCCTACCAAAGTTTAAATCCTTCTAAACAGATTTCCAAACAAATGTGCTGACTGACACCTATGACCAGAACGGTGTGAATATTCTTATTTTGCCACATCTGGTGAGTACTTGACATCATCAATTTAAAGAAATTTTTTTTTCTATATAGTCTGGTTGGAATATAGTGGAATCTCATAGTGATAACTGGTTTAAATTTGTATTTTTCTGATTTTTCATTGGCTGTTCTACTGTTCTTGCAATCTTTCTCCATTCTTTGCTCTAGCATTATCTAGTATCATGTAACATCTGTAAAATCTGTAGAACACTTAACATTTAGATCGTGTGTGTGTGTGTGTGTGTGTGTGTGTGTGTGTTTGTGTGTGTGTTTTCATCTCCTATTAGTGAATTGGTTTTGATTGCTGTGGTGGAATCAGCCTTATATTTCCATCTCTATCTCCTAGTATGAACTACGACGCTATTTGTTTGAGTTAGTTAGGATACACTCAATAGAAATTAAAATATCAGTGACTAGAGCAATGAGAAAGTACCTTGAATCATATAACAAGTTTTTAGAAGGTCATTAAGCTCCAGAGATTTTTTTGGTTTGTAGAAAGTTCAAAGTCAGCCTCAGTAACTTAGTGAGGCCCTAAGCAACTTAGTGAGACCTTGTCTCAAGAAATTAAAAATCTGCTCACCTCCACCCTTCAGTCTGGACTCACTGTCTGACCAGCTGAGGCAAACCTGATCTTCACTAACCAGGGCTGTCTTTTGCTCTTAGCTTCGTGGGACCTCTGCTTTCCCATTTGGTAGGAGAAAGTGATCATTTTAAGAAAAAGCCCAGCTCTTGAAGTAAACACCTGATGTCTAAGTGATACAACAACCATGACCATAGATTCTATCATCTGCCAGGAATTGTTTTGAGAACTGAGTATACAGTAGGAGTATATTTTAATTTGTGGGCCATAGTGTCTCTGTTACAACTACATAACTCTGTGGTTACAGCATGAAAGAAGCCATAATATATAAATGATAGAGAATGGCTGTGTTTCAGTGAGACTTTATGGGTAAAGACATTTGAATCTTGTAATTCCCAACTGTCACAATATGTCATTTGTCCTTTGATGTTTTTCAACCATTTAGGAGGCAAAACTATTGTTATTCTTAGCTCATTTGTCTGAAGCATTCAAAAACAGGAAGTGGGCTGAGTTTGGTACCATGGGTCTTATAGAAGAATAACCAGAGTCAAAATTCTTGCTGTAGTGGATATTTTATTTGACTGACAGATACGGAATAGAATAATCCAAGTATAAATAAAACTAAAAATCAAACATTGTGAAAAATGATCACATGAAAAAGGAAAGCCTGTTTTGAGATGGGTAATCATGCTTTAAATATGCAAGGGAAATGAAAAATTAAGCTGAAATTTGCAGAATGAGAATTAACATGTAAGGCAAAGACAGCAGAAGATAATTCCTGAGAAAAGGCTTAGACTTTGAGAGGTACTGAGATCTCAGAGGTACTGGAGTATTTTTTCTGGGTAGGTACCTCATGTCTCTGTGAAGAAAGTTCTGATCATTTTGAATGAAACCTCTCCTCTAAGTCCACTCAGGCAGTTCCTGTGGGCCACTTAGAGCAGACAGCATATACACTGTGGCATGTGGAGGCCTGTATGACCGTTTCCTTCTTTTCCTCTTATATTGTCTGGGTTCTCCCAAGAAACAGAAAATAATGTGATATAATTGGCTCACATGATTGTGAAGACTGAGACCTGTCTGAGATCCTCCTGCCTCAGCCTCTTTCATCTCTGGGAGTAGAGGCATGCACCACCACATCCATCTTTTTATAACATTCCCATTTATTAGTCACAAGCTCAGGTATGTTTCCATGTTCACCTTCATAATTTTTTCTTAAATTTCCACCTACATCCTTTGCTCAATATTTTTCACAGTTGTGTATCCATCTATACATTAACATATATTCTCAGATAAATTTGTCAGTTATTTATGATTTCTATTTGGATGTCAGGTACTCACATTAAAGATTAAAATCATTTTCATTTGTTTTTATACTTTGGTACTGCATAATTCCTTTGTTATTTTTGTTGATAGAACATGTAACATAATATTTACCATTCCAACCATTTTAAGTGTATAATTGACACTAAATATTCACATTGTTGTGCAGCCACCAATACTGTCCATGCCAGAACTTTCTTATCATCCCAAATTGAAACTATTAATAATCCCCTTTCACCCTCTCCTCCACCTCAATCTCCTGTTATTCTTTCTGAGTAAAAATTTGATTTTTCTAGGTAGCTCATATTAGTGGAGTCATACAGTATTTATCAATTTGTGTCTGGGTTACTTCACTGAGAAGAGTGTTTTCATGGTTTATCTATGTTATACCATATATCAAATTATGTTCATTTTAAAAAGGCCAAATAACATTCTGTTGTATGTACATACCATATTTTGTTTATCCACTCACTTACTTATGGGTACTTGGGTTATTTAATGCTGCTATAAACACTGTGTACAATTATCTTTATGAGTCCCTGATTCCAATTCTTTTAAAAAATTGTTTTATTTATTTTATACAGGGGATTGAACGCAGGAGCGTTTATAACCAAAATAAGGCTTTAAACTTAGAAATTTCAGCCACCAAGTCTAGATGTTAGCTTTGATAGAATGGCATCCTCATGCTTTCAAAATGGTTGCCTTCTGCTAATGTTTTTTCTTATTTTTGAATAAAAATGTTTCTTACAGGGGCTGGGGTTGTGGCTCAGCAGTAGAGTGTGCTTGCCTAGCACGTGTGAGGCCCTGGGTTTGATCCTCAGCACCACATAAAAATATCTAAATAAAACAAAGACACAACATCTTTATTTTATTTATTTATTTTTAATATTTACTTTTTAGTTGTAGTTGGACACAATACCTTTATTCTTACTTATTTATATGTGGTGCTGAGGATCAAACCCAGGGCCTCGCACGTGCAAGGCGAGCGCTCTACCTCTGAGCCACAACCCCAGCCCCCCCAATCCTTTTATTTATTTAGAGACAGGGTCTCACTAAGTTGCTTAGGATCTTACTAGATTACTGAGCTGGCTTTGAACTTGCGATCCTCACTAGATTACTGAGGCTGGCTCTGAACTTTTGATCCTTCTACCTCAGTTTTCCAAGTTGCTGGGATTACAGGCGTGAGCCACTGCACACAGCCAATTCCAATACTTTTTGGTATGTATGTAAAAGCAGAATTGATGGATCATAAGGTAATTCTATGTTTACATTTCTGAGGAACCAATTATTGTTTTCTACAGGAACTGCATCTTTTTAGTTTTGCACCATCAATATATAACGGTTGCAATTTTTCCATATCATCTCCAATATTTGTTGTATTCCTTTTTTATTTTTAAAAAAAACCCCCCCTCTCCTTCCCCCCCCCCCCCCCCCCAGTACTGGGGATTGAATCCAGGGCCACTCTACCACTAAGTGTCATCCCCACTCTTTAAAAAAAAATTTTTTTTTTGAGATAGGATTTCACTAAGTTGCTAAGGTTGGCCTCAAGCCTTCTGGGATTATAGGTGTGTGCCAGCACAGAGCCGGCTCACTGTTTTTCATTTGTATTTCCTTAATGATTGATTTTGAGCACTTTTTCAGTGTGCTCATTGGTCACCTGTATAACTTTGGAGAAATCCAATGCTGGATTTTTAAAAAAATATTTATTTTTTAGTTGTGTTTGGATACAGTGCCTTTATTTTCCTTATTTATTTTTATGTGGTGCTAAGGATCGAACCCAGGGCCTCGCACATGCTAGGCGAATGCTCTACTGCTGAGCCCGAGCCCCAGCCCCAGCCCCTATTTGCTGGATTTTTTTGAGATTTTGTTATTGTTGTTGAGCTGTAAGAGTTCTTTACATATTTTGGATATTAACTCTTGTCAGATATAAAAATTTCAAATATTGCTCTTATCATTTAGTTTGCCTTTTCACTGTTTATCATTTTTTTATTATACAAGTTTTAAGTTTTTTTTTTTTTTTAGAGAGAGAGAGAGAATTTTTTTTTAATATTTATTTTTTAGTTATCGGCGGACATCTTTGTTTGTATGTGGTGCTGAGGATCGAATCCGGGCCGCACGCATGCCAGACAAGCACGCTACCACTTGAGCCACATCCCCAGCCCCTATTATACAAGTTTTAAATTTTGATGAAATATATTTTTTCTTTTGTTGACTCTTTTGTGACATGCCAAGAAATCAATGTCAAATCCAATGTAATGAAGCTTTCCATGTTTCCTTCTAAGAGTTTTACATTTAGCTCTTTGATCCATTTGAAATTAAATTTTACACATTGTGTTTGGTAGGTAATCCAGTTTCCTCTTTTTGTAAGTGCCAGGTTTGCAGAAAAAAAACTTGTGAAACCTGTGCCTGGTCTAGGGGATGGAACAGAGAGCACTTGTCACGTTAATCTCCAAGCCCCCCTGCCCCTCCCCCAGTATAAAGTTCAAAGAATTTCCAAAATCCTTGCTCAGAAGAATTCTTGGGCGTGAGCCACCTGTGAACCCTGCAGTCAATAAATCTGCTTCCTGAAAGTACCTCTGGTACCCAGCCTCTTCTGTCCTACTTCATTACAGGACATTATGGAGTTACTGTTAATTGTTTTAGGTGTCAATAGTTTAGTGGTCATACAGCAAATTATCTAGAATCCTAGGACTTGTATATAGTTTTTTTGCTTTGTTGTGCTGTGCTGGGCCTCATATCCTGGGTCTCACACATACGGGCAAGCTCTACCACTGATTACACTCCCAACTCCATATGTCATCTTTTTAGAGGTGAAGTGATACCCAAAACATTCACTTAGAAAACAGCAAAACAATATGTGTAGTATATAGGACAAAGTATGTATGTTGTTAATGGTTTACATAGGGGGTGACCCCCTCCCCAAAGCTCCTGTGTTAATGTAGAACAGTCAGAGATAATTATGAGAGCTATAACCTAACCAGTCCATCCTAGTTTGAATGGACTAAATGGGTGGTAATTGTAGGCAGGAGGGATACAGTTAGAGGAAGTGGGTCAGTGGGGGTGTGCCCTGGAAGGGCTGCCTTCCCTGTGACCTCTCCTCTCTGCTTCCTGGCCATGATGAATGGAGCCGCACTCCTCCACCATGCCTTCTGCCATGATGTTTTTGCTTTACCTGGGCTTACAGCAATGGTGTTAGCCCACTGCAGACCAAACCTCTGAACCTTGAGTCAGAATAAACTTTTCTTCTTTAAGTTTTCCTTGTCAGGTATTTTGGTCACAGCAACAAAAACCTGACTACACATATGCCTGTGAATACAAACAAGAGACATGCACATCCATATGGATTCATGTGTGTATATAACACATGTAAATACATATGAAAGACATATCAGGTATACTGCCACTAGGTGGAGAGTAAACAAGCCTTCATCACCCACTGAAAAGTTACCTCTTCTATAAATATTTAAGTCTGAAACTTGCATAAAATTGGAAAAAACTTTTCCAACTCAATATGTGTTTTTTAGTCACCCAACTGTTCATTTTTTATTTCTTCATACTGTAGCAATATGGCTTGCATTTTATCTGCTACAGAATTTATTACAAAAGAATTTCTTCAAATCACCCTCTGATTTTTCACCAGTTATACTCTCAAGATTTAATAAAGACAGGATATTTCCTTTGGGCATTCTTTAAGTGGATAAATTCGAAATAAGATTTCTTATATAACACATTCTTAAGGGTTTTTTCCAGAATGAATGAGGTGAAATGATGATAGAAAGTTTTTTAAAATATCATACTCTGGTATCTTTCTTACTCATGAATTTATTTTTAATAATATTAATCATGGACATAAAAGAATATATTAAGTAAATACTAAGGTGCCAGAAATCCTTCCAAGGATTTTTATTTCATAACTTGTGTTATCTTTACCATGATGATATCATCGGGAGGTGGAACAGTGATAACAATAAAGGTTGTGCTACGGCTCAAGGCTTTCCTCTTTTCTCACTTCTGTGAAAACTCTGATGTTGAGCAAGTAGATAGCGACGACCAAAGGTCTTCCCACACTCTTTACAATCATAAAGGTTCTCACCACTATGAATTCTTTTATGGTTATGAAGGCTTGAGCCCCTGCTAAAGGTCTTCCCACACTCCTTACAATCATAGAAGTTCTTACCACTATGGATTCTTTTGTGGTTACGAAGGCTTGAGACCCTCTTAAAGGCCTTCCCACACTCCGTACAATCGTAGAGGTTCTTTCCACTGTGAATTCTTTTATGGTTCCGTAGGCTAGAGCCCCTGCTAAAGGCCTTTCCACATTCCACACATTCATGAGGTTTCTCACCAGTGTGGCTTCTTTGATGTTCAATCAGTAGATAGTTGCGAATAAAGGCCTTTCCACATTGTTTACATTTATATGGTTTCTCACCAGAATGAATTTTCCTATGTTGGATAAGACCCGAACAACGACCAAAGGCCTTCCCACATTCTGTGCAGATATAGGACTTCACACCATGATGACTTTTCTGATGCAGACACATATGTCGGTACAACCTAAAGCTCTCTCCACAATCCTTACATTCATAGGGTTTCAAACCAATATGAATTCTCTGATGTTCAACAAGGTGAGACTGACGTTTAAAAGCCTTTCCACACCGCACACATTCATAGGGCTTCACACTAGTATGAATCATCTGATGTCGGATCAGCTCTGAAGAAAACCTAAACGCCTTCTCACATCTATTACATTCATAGGGTTTAGGATTAGTGTGAAATTTTTGATGTTTAATAAAATTCCGGAGAATTACAAAGGCCTTTCCACATTCCTTACACACATAGGCACTCGCCCCAGTATGTTCTCTCAGATGTTCAGTAAGTTGTGAAGATTTTCTAAAGCATTTCCTGCATTTCTGACATTTGTATGATTTGTTTACAGCATGAGTTCTCTGGTGGAAAGGAAGGGATACAAGTTTTCTGATTATCATTTGACATTCCACTTTAGTTCCCTGCTGTCTCCCAAATTCAATTCTCCATGGTGGCTCATTACTGAAAATAAACCCCATCAGGTTGAAGGTTTTATTTCTTTTCAATGTCTCCTTATGGTGTGAATTTATTTCACAAATGTTTTTTTCTGAAGACAGCTTGTTGGTCTCAGTTGAGAAATCAAAGTCTGAAAGAAAATGAGAAAAACAAATGCCATTTTTCCTATGGGGGAGGACAGGGAGGGGCTTTTTATATTAACAACAAGAACCGAAAGGTTGCCGGTGTGCAGTGGTTTGGGAGGCTGAGGCGGGAGGATTATGAGTTCAAAGCCAGCCTCAGCAAAAGTGAGGCTCTAAGCAACTCAGTGAGACCCTGTCTCTAAATAAAACACAAAATAGGGCTGGGGATGAGGCTCAGTAGTTGAGTGCCCATGAATTCAATCTGCAGTACCAAAACAAAACAAAACAAAATAAACCTGAAAAGATTATCCTTTAGAAACAAAGGATGGGGCTGGGGTTGTGGCTCAGTGGTAGAGTGCTCACCTGGTGCGTGCAAGGCCCTGGATTTGATTCTCAGCACCACATAAAAATAAATAAATAAAAATAAAGGCATTGTGTACAACTAAAATAAAGAAATATTTAAAACAACAACAACAAAAGGATAAGGAAATTCTAAAATACAGCCATGATATTTTTAAAAGGCAAGAAGGGCTTGGAAGCTGGGTGTAGTGGCACATGCCTCTAATTCCAGCTGCTCGGGAGGCTAAGCAGGAGGATCATGAGTTCAAAGCCAGCTTCAGCAATTTAGCGACACCCTGTCTCTAAATAAAATACAAAAAAGGGCTGGGGGTGTGGTTCAGTGGTTAAGCACCACTGCGTTCAATCCCTGGCACCAAAAAAAAAATAAAGGGCTTGGAAAGTTATAAAAGTTCACATTAGGATGTAAGGCATGAGAAGGCAAACAGAAAAAGTCAGTAGTTCTCATATTTAGTTATGAACCAGAATTACTGAGGCTTACACTACCTTTTAGGTATCTACTAGACAAGTCAATCAGAATGTACAGAAGTAGAGCTGTTCATCTGCATTTCTGACACCATTTACCAGATATTTCTCTATATCACTTTTCCACATGATTTATCTTGATTTTAGAATGAAACCCAAATATATAATGATAATAAATGGCTCTGCCTTATCTCCATTACCTGGGAGTGTCCCATCACCCACAGGGGCTCTACATTTCAGGACTTTTATGACACTCTGGGCCTAAATCTTCTAATTTGTGAGAATATATAGATGATTGATTCAGATTCTTTAGAACTGTGATACTTTTGAGGTTTTCTTTTTATTTTTTCCTTGAGTGATTCTTATAGATTAAAATCTACTAATAATGATTTCATTGATTTGTCAAAATTTTTGGAATAATGTTTTTCAAAATATCATATTTTTGCCTGGCATGGTGGCACATGCCCCAAATTACAGCAACTCAGGAGGCTAAGGAAGGAGGATCATAAGTTCAAGGCCAGCCTCAGCAATTTAGTGAGGCCCTAAGCAACTCAGACCCTGTCTCAAAATAAAATAAAAATTAAATCAAATTAAAAAGGGCTGGGGATCTGGCTCAGTGCTTAGCTCCCCTGGGTTCAATCCCTGGAACCCCCCCGCCCCCCAAAAAAAGCCCTCAATAAAACAAGGAAGGAATTCAACAGGTAAATGGAAAATATAAAAATCAAACTGAATTTCTAAACTGAAAAAGACAGTATCTGATACAAATATATATATATATATATTCTTTTAAGAGCAGACTCATCTCATCAAATTCCAGCACAGAGAAAAATGGAAGAGCAAAAGAAGGTAGTGATAGAATTGCAAGATCTGTTCAAAAGGTCTAGCATGTGTATAGTAACATTTCTAGAGGAGAGGAGAAGATGGCCAAGTATTTTCCAAAATCAGGACAAAGACTTCTACCTCTGAGTAGAATCTATCAGATCGCTGCAAGTCAATATTCCCACTGCTCTAACAACAAAAAATAACAGAAAGAAAATGATCTTGAGTCATTCTTCTACAATGAAAATCAGAGGCTCTTTTGTAGTAAAGAAGAAAACCAAGATCCTGTAATATCTGTTCTCTGTGTTGGAGGATCAGCAATTACAACAGAATATTTACAAACATTCAGAGCACACACATAATATGAAATTCATTTAGAAAAAATTCAGTTACAGCATAGGGCAGAGGAAGGCAGAAAGGCATGTGAATAGGGAAGATTGAGGCACAAAATGAAGGTTCCTGTTTCTAAATAACAAATTTCAAATCAATATTTTGAGAACATGGAGCAGAAATTTAGCTGGTTTCCTGGCATATAATATATATAATAATCAATATATAGTAGAGAAAGCCGATACTCCAGAGAGCAAATTCTTACCCAAAGAGACCAAGTTGATATAATTCTCCACCATCACATCTCTGTATAAATCCCTCTGATCTGAGTTTAAACATTCCCACTCCTCCTGAGAGAAGTCTATGGCAACATCACTGAAAGTCAGTGGTACCTGAAATGATAAACCCATATATTAGTTTCAAAAGAAAACTTTTCCCAGATGAAATACATAAAGAGGCAATATATAAAAAAGAGGAGTTTGAAGTTATGAGATCATTACATGGTTAAATGAGAGTAAATAACTTATCTTATGTGGAATCCTACATAATCTTATTCCTTTTGAACCACAAAAAATTACTTCGACAACATGGAAAAAGTATTTAAATATATGAAAATGAATAAAGTAATCAGACTTTCCAAATTAAATTAAATGGTATATATTAGGACATTACACAAGCCACCAACTAATAGTCTGTACAAGTTCTTCATGGAATATGTAAAAAGAATTGATACAATTCACCCCCTCAAAACATTATGAAATCTCTCCTACTCTGATGGAATAATAGAGATTCAATTTGCCATTCTACATGAAATAAATGAAAAACTGGATAAATATGCGAAACATGGTTTCAACACAGAAAACACTGGATAATAGCAAACTATGATCTCTGAAATAACAAATGAGGTGTGACCTACAACTGATATAGCTCACTGTAAGAAGACAGTTTCTAGACTGTGGCACAGGAAGGGGTAACCAAAGTAAAACCCAGTGGACTTCCTGAGTATTATCCTCATAGCCAAACCAGATAAAAATACTATAAGAAAATTACAAGTTTCATATCCCTCATGAACATAGATGCAAAGATTCTAAACAATTTTTAGCACTCTGAATCCAACAACATAGAAAAACAGTAAAGTTTATTGCATGAATTCAAGGTAGGTCTAACATTTGAAAACCAGTTGATATAATTCACCATATTGACCTCTTTGAAAACCTCTAGTTCTTGCTGATGGGAAGAATCACAGCCTGTGGTACAGGAGTCCCCTGTATTTCTCCTTTGGTAGCAAAGCAATAAGCTGTCTTTGTCCTTAAAACAACAACAACAACAAAACACCATATTAAGAAAGACCATATAATAATATCAATAAATGCAGAAAAAGCATTTGATAAAAATCCAACATCTAATCTTGATAAAAATTCTCAGCAAAACAAGAAACCTCAACTTAATGAATGACATCTACAAACAAACAAACAAAAACCCATAGCAAGTATCACATTTATTAGTTAAAGGCTAAATGCTTTCCTTCAGGAATAAGGCAAGGATATCTACTCTCACCACTTCTATTCAGTATTGTGTAGAGGTTCTAGTCAATGCAACAGGCAAGAAATAAAAAGAATCCAGATTGTAAAATAAGTAAAATTCTCTTCATTCACAGATGATATGGCTAATGATATAGAAAATCCAGCAGAATTTTATGGAAAGTCACTGAAACTATTAAATGAGATCAGCAAGAAGACCAAGTTCAATATATTCAAATATCAATAACATAACATCTTTAATGAGACATAGTAGTTAGCCTTAGAGCTCTTGTCTAGCATGTAGGAGGCCCTGGGTTCAATCCCCAACACCATAAAACAACAACAAAAACTGTACTTATATCTCAATATTAGCAAAAGCTGGTGGAAATTTAAATAAGAAATACTGAATACTGAGTGGAAAAATATCAAATACAAATTTTATAAATCAAATAAAAGATGTGCGATACTCATACTTTAAAACCCAGAAATAATTGCTGAGAAAAAAATTTAAAAGACATAAATAAATGAAGAGATAACATGTTCATTGATCAGGTGATGATTATCTTTGCAAATACACAGATTCAACACATTCCCAATCAAAACCCCAGCAGGATTTTTTTTTTTTTTTGGGGGGGGGGTTTGTTTTAGAAATTGATAAGCTGATTCTAAAATTCATTTAAAAAACATAAGGGACCTAGAATAGTGTAGACATCTTTGAAGAAGGACAAAGTTGGAGCACTATCCCTCTGACTGGAAAACTTATTATGTTAAACTAGTGAAAAGAACATGGTGTTGGGCTGGGGCTGTAGCTCAGTGGCAGAGTGCTTGCCTTGCACAAGGTACTGGGTTCAATCCTCGGCACCACATAAAAGTAAACAAATATAATAAAGGCATGTTGTCCATCCACAACTACAAAAACAAAAACAAAAAACAATGTGGTGTTGGTATCAGAACACACAAACAAACCAAAGGAACAGAACAAAGAATGGAGAAACAGACCTACAAATATACAGACAAGTGACCTTTATTCCTTTTTTGGAGACAGGGGTCTCACTATATTGTTGTTATGGTATGGATGTAGAATGTCCTCCAAAAGTTCATGTGTTGAAGGCTTGGTCCCCAATGCAGCTATGTTCAGGGACAGGGCTTTTGGCAAGTGATTGGATCATGAGGAAGCTAACCTCATCAGTGGAGTTCATAACTGAATGGACTATTGGGAGGTGGTGGAAACTTTAGAAGGAGGGGCCTAACTGAAGGGAGTGGGTCCTTGGAGGTATGCCTTTGGGGACTACATCTTGACTACAGCCTCTGCTGGCTACCATGAGGTGCAGCTCTTCTCTACCACACACTTCCCACCATCATGTTCTGCCTCACCACAAGTCCACATGATGGGATCAAGTGACTATGTACTTAAACCTCTGAAACCATGAGTGAAAATAAAACTTTCCTCCCTTAAGTTAATTTTCTCAGGTATTCTGTCACAGCAATGAAAAGCTGGATAACACAGTGGCCCAGTCTGCTCTTTAATTCTTGGACAAGTGATCTTCTCACCTCAGCCTCTTGGATGCTGGCACTACATATATACGACTGCACTTGGCTCTGACTTCTAACAAAGGTGCTAAGACAGTTGAGTAGAGAAACACTAATGTTTTCACAAAACAGTGCTGGAACAATTGAATGTCCATATGTAAAAATATGATCTATACCTTGTACCATATGCCAAAATTAACACCAACTATAGGTCCAAATGTAAAACCTAAAACTATATATCTTCTAGGAGACAATGGAGTGTAAAAAACCTAGTAATCTTCAGTTACACAGAGATTCCTCAGACACAATAGGAACAGTACAATTCATAAAAAAATACACTGGTAAATTGGATTTCATAAAAACTTATAACTCCTGGACTTCAAAAGTCGCTGTTAAATGAGTAAAGAGATAAGCTACCCTACAGAGAAATTAACTTCCACACAAAATTTGGTTCAGATGTTGAGACTGATGATCCTACCACCTAAGGAGGTATAAAAAGATTTATTCATATATGGTGCTTTCTGGGGAGAGTCAGATGATTAAGTAGGTAGAAAAAAGGCTTTCGAGAACAGAGAAAGGAAAATACCTTAGAGTTTTTATTGTGTTTAAGGAATGGGGTTGGGCGAAGGTTCTTGCATGTAAGGAGATGTGTGTAGTTTGAACCCAACCTTCCACTAGCACCAAAGGAAAGAGCCCCTGAATTTTCTTATCATCTTGCTCAGCTAGGATATGGAAGGGAAAGAGGATGGGGTGAGGCTTAAAAATGATCAGCAGTGAAACAGCACGAATGAAGTCTAATTACCCTATGGACTATGAGAAAATATTTGCAAACCATATGTATGATAAAAGTCTTATATCAAGACTAGATGGGCTGAGGCTTGGATTGTGGCTCAGTGGTAGAGCACTTGCTTAGCATGCGTGAGGCACTAGGTTTGATCCTTGGCACCACATAAAAATAAATAATAAAATAAAGGCATTGTGATCATCTAAAACTAAAAAATATTAAAAAGTATACATATATGGGCTGAGTTTGTAGCTCAGGGGTGAAGTGCTTGCCTAGCAAGTGTGAGGTACTGGGTTCGATCCTTAGCATCACATAAAAACAAAACAAAAAAATAAATAAAGTAAAGGTATTTTTAAAAAAGACTATATGAACAACTCTCAAAATTCAAAGCTAGAATAATAACTTAATTTTTTAAAAGGCAATAGGTTTGAACAGACACTTCATAAATTAAGGTATATACACATCTAAGTAACAAATGAAAAGATATTTATTTGGGGCTGAGGCTGTGGTTCAGAGGAAAAGCATTCACCTAGTATGTGTGAGGAACTGGGTTTGAATCCTCAGCACCACATAAAAAATAAAGGTATTGTGTTTACCTAAACTAAAAAATAAATGTTTTTTTAAAAAAGATATTTATTAAGCAGCATTATTTATTAGGGAAATGCAAAATAAATGTTGATACAAATTAAAACCACAATATACAATTATTAGAATGACTGCCATTAAAGACACTGACCATCTGAAGTGTCCCATGAATGTGGGAACAAAACAGAACTCCTGTACCCCACAGGTGGGAATGTAAAATAGTTTAATCACTTTGAAAAATCATTTTTGGTTTCTTAAAAAGCTAAGCATCCATATGACCAACCATTCTAATCCCAGTATTTATCAAAGATAAATAAAGAAAAGAATATGTGCCTATAAAGATTTGTGCAGGAATGATTACAGCAGCTTTATTTGTAATAACTAAAAATGGGAAAAATTCAAATGCTCATCAAGAGATAAATGGATAAACTGTGGTATTACCTTAGAAGAGAACACTAGTGAGCAATAAAATGGAATGCATTACAAATATACAGTACAACCTGGATGAATCTCAAAATGTGCTGAATGAAATAAGACAGATCTTCCAAAAAAGAACATTATATAGGATTCCAGTTATATAAAATTCTAGAAAATGCAAACTATCCCATATAAAGAGAAAATACAACAATTGTTGGGAAATAAAGGTATGATGGGTGGGCAGGAAGGAGGCAATCATAAAGGGATATAAGAAAATGTTTAAAAGCTGGGTATGGTGGTGCACACCTGTAATCCTAGCAACTTGGGTGGCTGAGGCAGGAGGATCAGAAGTTTGAGGCTAGCCTCTCAGCAAGTTGGTGAGGCCCTAAGCAACTCAGTAAGACCCTGTCCCAACATAAAAAATAAAAAGGGATAGGGATGTGGCTCAGTGGGTAAGCAGCCCTGGGTTCAATCCCTAGTTCCAAAAAATGTTTGGACTGATAGATTTGTTCATTATGTTGACTGGTGATAGTTTCTCAGGTGTATTAATGTACATATCCAAATTTACCAGATGCCTTAAATATGAACAGTTTATTATCTGTCACTTATAATTAAATAAAGTTTCTATAAAAAGGCAAAAATTAAAACACTCATTTATGTCATTTATATCTCAAAAAAGCTGATAGCCTCTATCTTAGAAAACAATTTAAGGCCATGCATGAGGGCACATGCCGGTATTCCCAGTAGTTTAGGAGGCTGAGACAGGTGGATGGCGAATTCAAAGCCAATCTCAGCAAAGCAACTCAGTGAGCCCCAGTCTCTAAATAAAATACAAAATAGGGCTGGGGATGTGGCTCAGTGGTTGAGTGCCCTTGAATTTAATCCCAAGTACTAAAGGAAAAGAAAAAAAAAGCAACTTAAGTAAAATTAAGTCAAAACACAAGTTTCTTATATGTCAGATTATGTCATAAGCATTTCCCTTATTTTGACAAATTAATGATTTCATTTAGTCCCTCTTGTCAGGTTTAATCTTTCTTAAAGTATTAGGTTTTATTAATAATAATAATATACATAATATTATACCATTTATATTGGACACAAATCCCAACCTTCCTTTTTTTTTCCTTGCAGAAAAGCATCACCTCCTCTATCAAGTTCTAGATGGACTTCCTTTCTATAATCCCTTACTGAACTACTGTTACTGAGTTAGAATACACTAATGCAGAATGATCCAGAACAACACTGATTCACTAAAGATAAGCAACTTCCCTTCCACTACAAAATAGACCTTGCTACCTTATTCATCTCTCTAGCTAGGCTTCTGATCTCTCTCTAGGTAAGACCCAATCCTCTCTCTACCCAAACCTAAGAGCTTATCAGAGCTGAGACTTCATCTTGCACTAAGACTTAGACCATTCACAACAAAATTTTCCTTTATCTATTCAAAAAACTATGGAGAAAGTTTTCCTTCTTGTGGTCCAACAAGACCATCACTTCTATATCATGAAACTGAGAATCTGACAAGGACAGCTTAAATATTTCCTTCAAGGAACTACTTCTTTTTTTCTTTTTAAGGAACTTAATTAATTTTTTCACTACTCAAAATCTGCTCTTTTTTCTTGGTACCTAGGGTTGAATCCAACAGCACTTAACTACTGAGCCACATCCCCAGCAACCCCTTCAACCCCTTTTCTTTTACCTTTATTTTATTTAGTTTTTTTTTATGTGGTGCTGGGAACGAACTCAGTGTCTCAAGCACGCTAGGCAAGTGCTCTACCACTGAGCCACAACCCAACCCCAGCCCATGTTTTTTATTTTTTTTCTTTCTTTCCTTTTTTTTTTTGATACTGGGGATTGAACTAAGGGGCACTCAACCACTGAGCCACATCGCCAGCCCTATTTCGAATTTTATTTAGAGACAGGGTCTCACTAAGTTGCTTAGCACCTTGCCTCGCCATTGCTAAGGCTTGCTTTGAACTTTCAATCCTCCTATCTCAGCCTCCCGAGCTGTTGGGATTACAGGCGAGCACCACTGCACCTGGTTCCTTTTTATTTTTTATTTGAAGACAGGGTCTCACTAGGTTGCTTACAGCTTTGATAAATTGCTGAGGCTGGCTTCAAACCTGAAATCCTCCTGCCTCAACCTGCAGAGCTGCTGAGATTATAGGCATGCACTACCACACTCGGCTTAAAACCTGCTCTTGAGAGAAGACTGAACATATTGCAAAATTATTTGATGAATAAGTAAAAGTAAGTTGACACATGGGAACTATGAAATGCGTCCAACAGCTTTCTTACAAAGGCTGTTTAGGGATAAAAACAGAAAATATTACATGAGTTAAAATCATAACTTTTCAAGAAATAGAAAGAGACATCAACTTACCTGGGCCATGATTTAACCATGCCGGCCTTCCTTGGTATTCCTCTATTAGAGAAGAAAAGTTCAGAGAGCCAGAGCTAGGGGAGGAAAAAGAGACTTTGAGACCTGGTGGACTTCAAAACTCTGAAGCTTTTTTTTCTTTATTCTTTCTTCTTCCTCTTCCTGCCATACCCTAAACATTAACACATGTCAAGGGATATGAGACATCCAGACAAATCCAAGCTCTCTCCATTCAGACCACACAAGTGGGGACACAGAGCAAAGGTACCACTGCACCAAAGTGGATCCATCTGATCTATGGCCTCTCTCATTCTGAAGATGCAAACTCCAAGGCTAGGGATATAGCTCAGTTGGTAGAGAGCTTGCCTCACATGCACAAGGCCCTGGGTTCAATCCCCAGTACCACAAGGAAAAAAAAAAAGCCAGGATTAATTAGGCTGCTTATAAGAATTGTACCTTAAATATAAAGACACAGATATGTTAAAGAATGGAAAAATATATTAGATATAAATCAGAAGAAAGCTGGTATACGTGTACTTGTAACAGAAAAAATAGACTTTGATGCAAGAAATATTATAAGTAACAAAGGGGACATATTCTACCTTTCACCAAGAACAGAATAGTAGTCCTAATATTTGTAGGTACTTAATGAGAGAGCTTCAAACTATATAAAACAAAAGTCAACAGAAGTAAAGGCTAGACATATTTAAAATTAAAGTTAGAGATTTTAACACTACTGTTAACAGAAAAGACAACACACAAAGCAAAAATCAACAAGTCCATAGAAGTTTGAACACAATCAAATTGAGTTATAAACTGCAGTTTATACATTCTTTTCAAACACTGATATCATAATTACCAGGATAATATTCTGGGTCAAAAAACAAGTATCTATAAATTTCAAAGGGTTAATACAAAACAATGGATATTTTCTTAAGTCTTTAGAATTAAAAAATAGGCATTCCTCAAATGTTTTCAAATATAAGGAGTATAATATAATTCTAAATAACTATAGTTCAAAGAATAAATAAAAGTGGAAGGCACAAAATATTTTTAATTGAATGATAATGAAAATACAACTTATCAAAGCTTCTGTGGTGCAGTTAAACCAATGTTAACAAAGTCATGTTTGGATTTAAATGTATGTTTCAAGAAAACATAAAGGTTTAAAATTAATTCTCTACCTCAAGAAATAGAGAAAAGATGGGCTGGGGATATAGTTTAATCTTAGAATGCTTATTTAGCATGTAGAAGGTGCTGGGTTCTATCTCCACATTGGAAAAAAAGAGGAAGAAGGAGGAGGAGGAGGAAGAAAGAAAAGCAAATTAAACTTATAGAAAGTAGAACATACCAAAAGAAACCAATAACATTAAAAAAAAAGAACTGGATATATAAAAAAGCAAAATGAGTACAGTCAGAAGCTAATTCATTGGAGAGATGAATAAACCAGTAAAAAAAAAAAAAATCCTGTCAATTATCAGGAATATAAAAGGAGGTATCACTATATATACTGCAGAAATGAAAATGATAACAGACCTTATAAACAATTTTATGATGATAAACTTGAAAACCTGGAGGAAATTTTAAAAATTACTAGAAAAGGCAGTTTAAAATGATATAAGAAATGGCAAATCAGGATATTGCTATATGTATTAAAGAAATTAAATCCATATTAACTATCTTTCTACCACAATAATGTTAGGCCCAAAGGCTTCAGTGGCAAATTCTTTCATTTACAGAATTAAAAATACCAACCAAACTTGGCCTTCTCAAGTAAACAGAAATATATGGACCATATCATGAAGTGAGCTGTCTTAGTACATTTCATTTGCGAGAGCAGATCCCTCATGACCCCCAGGTGCCCCTCAATTTCCTGTCACTCTCAAAGCCTCAACATGAATTTTGGCTTGGAACAAACCACATCCAAACCACACCACCTGTATAATTGTGGTATAAAAACCTATCAAGGACATTTCAAGAAAGGAAAAAATACAGCATATCTTTCCCATGGGCACAGATGCAAGTATATTAAAAAATATTGCAAAGAAAAACCAGTAATATAAATGACTGAGAGAGATTTATTTTAGAAATGTAAATGTCATTTAATTAAAAAAAAATCAATTCAAGAAAAAATTTTCTGTAAATTTGGAGCAATAGGGAACTTCTTTCATGTGATAAAGAAAATATATGGAATAAAAACTATAACTACCAGGCTGGGGATATAGGTCAGTTGATACAGTATTTGCCTCACATCAAGACCCTGGGTTCAATCCCCAGCACCACAAAACAAAACAAAAAACTATAACTACCATTAAACATAAAAGGAAATATGAACCACTATCTTTCTGAGTTGAAGAAAAAGTAATGTTGTCTGCTTTTATTATATCTATGATTTGACTGAAATTTCAAATCTAGAAGTTTATCCTCAGGGAATAACTATAAAAAGACATAGAGGTCTATGTATAATGATATTCATTATGAGTTTAGTTTTTAGTAAAAACTTTGAAGCATAATAACTAACAGTAAGCAAGAGGTTACATACATTATAAAGAGAAAGCCCTGAAAGTGAGATCTTGTATTTACAGATCAGTCACTATGAGGCAGAACATTTCAAGAGAAAGGAAAGAGTCTCAAGTATTTGAAATTAAAGTGCATTTTATGAAGGATGAAGAATCATAAACTCACCTGAACTTTTAACTTTCAGATGTGCAACAAAAATTCTTTCTTCTTCCAGGATTTTTATTTGTCTGTTTTTTAGAGAGGCGTGGCACTGGGAAAAGAGGCAAGCAGAGAAAGTTAGTTTTATTTAAATAATAGTAACAGATGTCTCCTGAAAGGGAAAAGAGGGCCATAGCTGGTGTCCTCCTATCCCAAGAAGTAAGAGTATCTGTCCCTGTCGCAGAAAGTTCACTCCTTGTCCCCAGTGCCAATTAATGCCAATTTAATAATGAGGACATAGTTTTGAGAAAAAGCAAAAGGTTGTTTTATTGCTTTGCTATCAAAGGAGAAAAACAGGGGACTCCTCTCCCAAAGGCTATGAATGTCAATCAGGAGGGACAGGGGGTTTTTAAAGGAACCCTAGAAGAGTTACATTCCAGGTGTGCTCTGGTAGGGGGTCCCAGGGCGCCCTTATGGTATGCTAGGATTCACATGTTAATTTGGGAGATATTCCACTTCCCAGATCCTCAGACAGTGGGTGTGTTCAGGAGCAATTAACTAGAGGAAGAAAAAGATAACACTCCATTCCCTTTGAATCATCTGCCATCTTCCCCACCAACCAAGATCACCTATCTACACTGCCTGTCTTTTAATTCTTGCTTCACCTGCTCACCTAACCCACACATTACCAGACCTGGGTAGGAAGGAGACTAGAACTGATCTTCCCAACCCAAGAGAGGCCAGGGTCATGTCGGAGCCTTTGGCCAAAGTTTTTGGAAATACTGTAGTTATGAAAACATGTCATTAACTCCTTGGAACTTCCAGAGAGGAACCTCCCAAAGGTAATCCTACTCCTGGGATAACCTCATCAGGTCTACCCAGACTCCAGCCTTAAAATATGAGGCCATGTTAAAAAAAAAACCAAAAACAAAAAACGAAAGAAAGTCTTTTCTCAAGATCAAGTCTGTCTTCTGGCTGGGATTCTCCATTCTAAGGTTCAAAATCTGGTTTCCCTCTTTTACTTGCTGCAGACCCCAAGTGACTGAAAGGAGAGAAGGCTGAGGAATCAGAACCTAGAGACATTAAGTAACAATGTCAACACACAGCCACAAAACTCTCACCTACCCATAAGCCACGCATCCAATCAACCAGTTAGTGATGCGCCAACACAAACATCCTCAGAGACACAACGCAGTTCCCCGTCTGCTGCTCTAAGACTTCGCACAGGACAAGACCTGCCCGCTCTCTGGGTGTGAGGGGACCTTTAATTAAAGGAGTTTTTTGGAGGAAGGAAGATACTGTGCTGTGCCCAAGCGGGACAGAAAACAAAGACATAGGGCTGCCAGCTCAAAAAGGTCAGGGATTAAAGGCGCTTCTGAGTTCTTTGTTCACCTTTGCCGGGCTTTTTGCTAGGAATGGTTTAAGCTAAACAAGGAATGATTGACAGATTCATTCCCCACAATGCTTATAGCGCATGCGCCAAAGCTCCCATTCCAGAGTTTTACCCTAGAAGTGTGATATGCAAGTCCTACAAATGGGATCTTCAGCGGGGGCGGGGAAGGGGGGGTTCTCCTATTAGGTGACTCTAGGTAAAACGTGGGTCTCTGCGCATGCTCCTTCAGAAGGTCGGACACATTTTTTGAAAAACAATCTTGTCGCGCATAGCGCCACAAGCCTGTAATCCCACCGGCTCTCGAGACTAAAGCAGGACCTAGAGTTCAAAGCCAGCCTTAGCAATTTGGGGAAGCCCTGTCTCTAAGTAAAACACAAAAAAAAGGGCTGGGGATGTGGCTCAGTGGTGAAGGGCTCCCGGGTTCAATCCCTGGTACAGAAGAAAGAAAAATAGAATCTTGCTGTTCACTCTTTGAGGAAAACAGCTCCTCCAATAACAGAGGGCAGGAGGCTAAATCCTTAGCCTCACCAGTTCGGCTGACTGAGGTGGGGTGGGGCTTGGGACCAGGGTCCCTACCTCACTGGGCTTCCTCGCCTTCGGAGCCTCTCACCCCCACGGCCAGGTCTATTCCGGATGTGAAAGCCTCCGCGGAATTTATTTTTGGGAAGGGGGGTTTTGGGAGGGGGACACGATTTTCTCACCACGCTGGGACTGTGGCCACTGGAACACAGGAAGAAGACTAAAGGGTGAAAGGTGAGTCAACCTCCAAGGCTCCTGGGAAATGTAGTGCAGCTGGAAGAATCCTGACTCTGTAGCCCGTGCTCGAAGTGGGCATGCGCGGTACGACCAGGTACTGGAGCGGTCAGGAGGACAACGCTTTCAAGACGTTAGGAGAGGAAGGCGGAATCTGAGTCCCGCCAGGATCGCCGAGCCAAGGGCAAGCGGACAGGAAATCTTCAGTTCAAGAGGAGGAGGTTGTGGGTTCCGAAGTGCAGTCTGCAGCATGTATCCAGGGGGAGAGCTCTATAGGGACAGGGACTTTGTTTTTTTTTGACCCTCCAAGTTGGTATTGTTACGAGGAGCCGCTCCAGAAAGCACTCTAAGCCCGAATTTCAAATTAAAAGAGAGTTTTATTTACCTGGCCCGGGACTGTCACCCACCGTAGAGACTCAAGTTCTGGGGCAGGACAGCAACTTCCTAGTCCATCCAAGAATATAAGCACAAAAACCACAACTTAGTGACTTGCTTGTCCTCATGTAAGCTACCAATCACAGAAATTAAAACATTCATAAGTGGGGCCTGTGGGCTCTAGGCAGGGCTGGAATTTTCCAGTCAGCAAGCAAGTGATAAATAGAAGCTAAAAAAAGCATTAGCTTTGGAGTTCAGTTGACACTAAAAAAAGCATTAGCTTTGGAGTTCAGTTGACCACAGTCCGCGGTTCAAGCAGGTACTAGACAGTCATTTCCTGAATTTGGGTGGGGGTCTGCAGGGCAAGAATCTACTTCAAAGTCATGTAGACCCACAAGGGCATTCAAACCCAGGATGTAGCTCACCACCACCACCGCTGCATCCTGAGTAGGGTACAATTTATGGGGTACAAAGTACAGAAAGACAAATTTTTAAAATAAGAAAACAGCTTTAGTTTCTATTTCCTAGAAATGGGTCATGCAGTTCTCCCTTCACAGGGACAGTAAAAAAAAAAAAAAAAAGAAATTAAGATGAAGTTTCTCTAGTCACATCTTTTTACTCAAATGACCCTATTCTCATAATCCCAGCAAGATGTGCATTGTTGAAAGTAACTAATGAGTCTCTACGAGAGCAAATGCTTTACACACTCAGTACTAGTAACTTGTTTGATGCCTACTTAAAACTACAGTTATCTTATGGCCTATACGCACATTTTCATCTGTCATTTTACTAATATTCATAAACCCTATGTCCTTTATCCTATGCAAGGTTACAAGAGCAGGTTGCTATGTTAATCTAACCTTATCTATATCTATATTAATCTACTTGCTTATTTATCTATAACTACTGACACACTGACTTATCCTATGGCTTAAATCCTATGTTTTACAGTTACATGATTTTTCTACTATTACTTAGGCTTATTCCTGGTTTCTTTTAAAGGGTTGTGGTCAGACCTGCTTGCATCGGTTTGATTTTTTTCTTGTTAGTCTTGAACAACGTTGTAGTTGGGTAGACCTTTTTATCATTCTTTTTAAGCATAAAGCATGTAGTGCTTTTCTTTTAACCTTCCCCAATTTAAATTTGAACTCTTTACTCCTGTCCCTGACACTCAAGCCTGGAAAATGTGCCTTTCAGTTAATTATCACCAACTTTGAACCCTATACTTCTGTCTCACAATGAGAAAACAACAAAACAACAATCACCACCAACCCAGGCCGATTTGGAAAACAAACATTGATTTAGATTCCACCTGCTCATCCAAAGGAAAATTGCAGGATCCACCTAACATGAGGAAGCTCAGCCTTACCCAAGATTCTGGGACGTGTAGTCCAGACCTTTCCTCTGGCTGGAGCACTTCCGCCCCGGGAAGGCGTGGCCACGGTAGTTGCTCCTCTGAGGGACATAAGGAACTACAGGGATACTACAATGCCCAGAATATTTGGTGGCACTTCGGCTGCCGGAGAAGAAGAATATAAAGCCCGCCGTTCTCGGAACTTTTCAGGCGATGCAAGTCGGCGCCCGCACTTCCGCGGGGGGGGGGGGGGGGGGGGGGGGGGGGGGGGCGGCCCAGTGTCCCGCGGGATCTTGGGAAGTGTAGTTCCGGAGCTCGGAGCCACCCGGGCACTTCCGTCGCGGGGTAGCGATCGCGGCCTGTGTAGTAGCTCTCAGGGCGGTGAGTGGATTTGGGGACCCTGCGGTCTTCTGTAACCTTTCTGATCTGATGGTAGGGTCAGCGAGATCTGCACCTGGGTCACCGAGAAGAGAAGCCGCGACTAGCGGCGGAGAGCGGGGTGGAGGGGCAGTGGCTGCGCCGTCTTCGGTTCGCTGGGACCTTTGCTGTTGGTGGGTTCGCGAGTCTCCGGGTTGGAGGCGGACCTGGAGCGCAGCCTTTGAGCTCTGGGCTCTGCTGCCCGACCCGCCTTCCCTCTCCTTCCCCACTCCCTGTGGCTTTCAGCAGCATAAGGTTCGGTAGGAATCTTTCAGAGCATTAGTTTCCTCACGTGTAAAAGGGAATATCCCAAGTACCTGTCTTAAACATCTGTTTTCAGTCTGAGAGTACAGGTTAAATGTGCAGGACAGTGTAGGCTTGTGACCGGGTGTTGGCGTTACTGGTAGGACCACTATAGTAAACACTTCGTTTCCTTGCAAGGTCTTTGCAGTACCACTCGCTCTTCCTAGCGTAAAGAAGGCCGCTCCTGGACTACTGCTACATCCTCAGCCCCTGGACTACTTCTGACCTGTTTTTTTGAAGAAAGCGTGCATCGCTCACAGATGGAGTTTGGTGAGATCCTGTGTGGATTTTCCAGTACCACAAATAAGATCATGGTATCCCCCAGCCTTCTTCCCTTCCCCTGCCCCGTCTTCTGAAAGGCTGCAGAGAGGAGGAGTAAATCCCAGACTCCTGGCAGCAGAGCCTCACTGGGCAGAACCTAGGATTCATCTTCCTGTTCTGTTCAGAGTGGAAGAAGGTATTTCGTTCATTAACAAATGTTTCTGCTACGAAAGTTAAATTATTGTTGAATAATTGGAAAAATGTGTCATGAATAATAGCCATAATAGGAAATATTGAGTGCCAAGTAATGTTCTAAGGGCTTGCTGATGAAAATTAACTCATTTAACCTTTACAAAGGCCCTATGATGTAGGTATTGTTATTAGTATTATTTCACAGAAGAGGAGGAGGTATAGATACAAAGAGCTTAAATTGCTGGGGGGGCCTGTAATCCTAGTTGCTCCAAGTCTGAGGCAGGAGGATTGGGAATTCAAAGCCAGCCTCAGCAACAGCTGGGTGCTAAGCAACTTGTGACACTGTATCTCTAATTAAAATACAAAAAAAAGAGGACTGGGAATGTGGCTCAGTGGTTGAGTGCCCCTGAGTTCAATCCCAGGTACCCAAACAAACAAACAAAAAATAAAACAAAGAGCCTAAGTTACTTATTCTTTGTTACAATGCTAGTAAGAACAATGGAGTTTCTGTCTAGGGCTTGTGTTCTTTATATCTTTGGATATCCTAAGACATACAATTTTGAATTAGGAACTAAAAAAGAAAAGCAATCCATATAAATATTCAGCCATAAGAAACTAGATGCAAGGGAGTTATTTGGGAGTAAGTTGGAGAGAGAGGTTGGAATTTTATTATAGAGGATTTTGAAAGCAAGGTTAGTGGGTTTGGCCTCCTCTATAAAAATTTAAAGCATTATCAGTAACTTTATTTTAAACAATATGTATAGTTCTGATCATAAAAATTCATGCTCTTGGGCAGAGGAAAGAGCGCTCACCTAGCATGCGTGAGGCACTGGGTTCAGCACCACAGAAAAAATAAAATAAAATAAAGGTATTGTGTCCACCTACTAAAAAATAAATGTTTAAGAAAAAAATGCATGCTCTTTGTAGAGAATTCCAAAAGTTCAGAAATGTTAAGAAATACATTAAGAATTACTTGTCCTACTAGAATATAGATTTATTAACTTTTTAATGCATTTCTACTAGCAGTTTTTAAACAGGTATTGTCTATATTTATAAAATATTGAGTTTTTACTTCCTTAGCGCTTAGGTATCTTTTTTTGGGGGGGCAGGGACAGTATTTCATCATGTTGGCCATATTAGCCTTGAACTCACAATTCTTCCTGTCTGAGCCTCTCTTTTTTTTTTTTTTTTTTTGGTACTGGGGATTGAACCCAGGATGCTTAACCCTGGGTTCACATCCCAAGCCCTTTTTATGTTTTATTGAGCTATAGGTTGTTGCCGAGTTGCTCAGGGCCTAAGTTTCTGAGGCTGGCCTTGATCTAGCTATCCTTCTGCCTCAGTCTCCCAAGTTGGTGGGATTACAGGCCTAAGTCACTGTGCCCAGCTCTCTGAGTCTCCTGAGTAGTTGGAATTAGAGGTGTGTGTTACTACCTCATCTTTTCAGTTTTTCACTATGGAAATTTCCAGATATACCCAAAGCATAAATAGCTCCTATGTAACTTCAGTCTTTTCTAATCTTGATGCTTCTCCCCTTCACCTGCCACATTTTTCCCCCTTGAGTATTTTAAAGTGAATTCAGACACTGAGTAAGTAGAAGGTATATGTATGATGTGTGTGTATGTATGTATGTATGTATGTGTATATATATATATATATATATATAA